GACGAGGGTTTTGCATTAGCAGATGCTCGCGCCTTGCTCCCAATTTGGATGAAGAAGTCTCCTAATAGCGCCTTCTTCATCTTCCTCCGAGGCCGCTTAGCTGCTCTCAGTGGCGATTTTCAGGGGGTATTATTTACCTCTTGATGATCTCCCACACGTATTCCGCCCAAACTCACTCCTTTTGTTTTCGTTTAGGCGAAAGACTATTTCTTCAAGTCCATATCCTGCCAAACAGATTTCCACAATTTTTATCACATTTGCTACTGGGAGATGATGTGGTGTCATTGGTGAGTAGTTGCCTCTTCTACCTTATTGTGAACACATATTTTAGGCCAACCGAAGTGACCGGTTTTCAGCACGCATTTTTTTAAAGAAAACTTTAGTTTCGACTTTGTTGTGTAGTGTTCAAGGCGAGTGGATGGATGCGACGAAGTATGCAGAAAGGCTAGCCTGTGAGAGCAAGTGGAGCAATGCGACATATCGTTACCTTCAGGCGGTTTTCATAATCCAATTCCTCGACCAGGAACGCGGAGCTGCCGCCGGTGCCAAGAACTCCTCCCGTAAGTCCTCGGTCCTGGTGCCAATCATCTTCGATCCCAAGGACGATGCCGATGGGGGGATTTTGGCTAAAACTGTCGAGGATCTGCTTGAGTATGTTTGAGGCTTATCTTTTGCAAGCCTGAAGATGAAATTTGGCTTTGATTTGTTTGACTTTAGTTATCACCATCTGTGCTTGCATAGGTAATGACTCATCAGGTCCACGTTGGGCCACAGTTACTTAATACGTGATTACTTACTGTCTACGACAACATCTGTCGCGCTGATTTGGAGTCTCAAACACTTACAAACTTTTTTTGACACAGGATTTTTCTGACCAAAAGCGCTTTTCAGCAATACAATCTTGTCTTGCCTCCTTGTCTTTCAGAAATGTGCCACAGATGATCCAACGAATAGCTGGAAAGTCCCTCCCCATTGAAAAATTTGCCATGAAGAAGGCACTGAGATTCTTCGAACAGGACAAGAGACTTACCTTACCCGGTTTAGTGAGTTGAATTGTGCGTTCTTGTTTGACCTAATGACTGTGAGTTCTTTGAGCCAACACAACCCCAAACAAGAGCCTCAGACCTCTCTTACTTGCTAAAGTCATCTGGACTTGGAGTTTTATTACTGCCTTTTGGCGGATTTGACAATTGAAGTTAATAAAGCACATCCTACTTACTAAATTATCAGCATCCTCCCAAATATATCGATATGGTATGAACTTTGAAATCTCGTTCTCGCTTCCATGAGAGTGGTACATTTCATTCCAGGAAATCATGTACCTCTGGAGTGGTTTTAAACTCATTAATGACAACCCAGACCTGGTGAATAAATTCCTCCTGATAATCGAGGCCAAGTTACACAGTCTCGTCGATAATCAAGGTAAATTCTTTTACCTTCCTAGTCTTATAAAGTTACGCGTAGAAAGAGAACATGAATATTTCTGACACCTCCCTTTTTTTCCAGAGAAAATAAGCAATTACGCAGACGATTTTTGTTTGGCCACCCTCCTCAAAGGCGTGTGTCTTCGGTGCCTACGAAAGCGCTTCCAAGCGAGGATGTGCTTCACGGAAGTTCTAATGAAGTGAGCTTACAAGGTACGATAACTGGAAACAGTGAGATGCAAATCTTTCTGCTCGCATTTTTCTTTTCCTCCTCCTAGTGAGAAAGCAATACACCTGGACAGGTACTTGTTGCCATTTAGTGAGGTTGAGCTCTGTCAAATAGCCTTGGAGGAGGGAGAAGTTGATGAGGCAAAGTCACACCTTGACAAAGCATGGTGAGTACTCGTGTCTAAATGTCTTGGAAGAAAGTGCTCTTCTAAACTGGTCGCCTTTTCGACTGGAAATAGGAGCTACACCAAGTACAGCTTGGAGGCGCGACTGCACTTCCGTCTGCACTCCCTGACTGCACAAATAAAGGCTCTGAAGGATCCAAAACAACGCGTCAGTAAGAGTTTACAGGGCACTCCAGTGAGTTCATGGCACAACGGACTCAACAAATTCACCGAAAGTGATGAAAACCCCTTCGATATCCAATTCAACTCCTCACTTGGCAATGACGATGACAACCAGATTACCCTTGAGCTGTAGGTTGCGCCTTCCCACTATGTATTGTTATTTTTCTCATCCCCTTACTCGAATATCTGTTTTCTATTTATTCACAGGGACGCTGGGAAGTAATTCGTAGCAAATGATAGAGGAAAACTCCATGCGTAATCTGACATCCCAGTGACTGGGAGAGAGCGAGGGCGCGAAACCCCTCGTTTTACGCCTTTGTGAATAAACTAACACCTTAACCACTGCCATTACTGGTATAAATGCAGTTGTTTTAATGGGGAATGCATTCCTTTTTTGGTATTTAAATTGTCTCCCTCCTTTTGGATTTGCATTTTTTCCTCTTGGAGATCGGCAAGGGGATATGATAGGACAAAGTGAGGGATTGGGGTTTACTCACAGTAGAGGATGGAATGCGATTCCCTGAGCAGCAAAAAAGGAATTTACAATCGGGAGAGAAAAGGAAAAAATAATGACAATTTGCTGAACCCAAAGCGGATAAACCCACCCCTCTGAAAATAGCCAAACTATGCGCCCGCCTTTTGAATTAAGGCCAACACCAGATATGGGGGCAAATGCTTGCCTCTATGCATGGAATGATAGCAATTGAAAAGAGCACTGCACAAATCAATCAAGAAAGGCGTCCACTTTCATATGAAAATGGAAAATACTAATTAGTTCGTTGCTCGAGAGATGAAAGAAAACGGACAAATTTGCTGCTCATTCTTCAGGATCATCGGAGGCTAATAGGACACCCTTTGAACCGCGCCAACTCGCCTGCGACCTCTCCACCATCGGATGGAAACGCTATAAACCGATAACTCTGTTAGTAAATATGTGTTACTGAAATATTAAAAGTAGAAGTTTTTTTGCCTACCGAACGTCGAAGATTGAATATGGCAAGATCGGGTCTACGATGTCGAAGGATGAACAATCCGACGATAAGCAGAATCAGGAGGACAAGAAGAAGTGACACCACAATTGCTGCTGTACTGATCACCGTTGGATGCGGTGCCTGAAAGTACAACCAGGTCAGTTAATAAGTCTTCCTTTAAGTACAAAAAACTGCGAGATCGCAAAAAGGAAGAAATAAAAACACACTCGATTTCAAAAGGTTTATAAATCCAAAGTTATTCTACAACCTACTTGAATATACTTCAATGGTGCATTTGTATAGTATATTCGACCATTGGTAAAGAGAATAGGTTTCTCACGGACTTCCACTTCGTTCACACGCAATGTCTCCTAGGTGAAAAACAATGTAGGCAATAACACGAACGAAAGAAATTCATTGCAGAAGCGCAAATAATCCGACCTTTTCCTCCTCTTCACATAAATGCTATTGATAATCGTTTCGAATTCCACTCATGGCACATGTGTGTTTGGACCAAAGGAAATAGAGACGATACTATCTGGCATGTTTTTTCCTTCTTCTAATAGCCTCGATAAGCATTGGTCTTACGGTGTTATTCTGCATCGAATTGCCGAGTTTACATACTCGAAGCCCATTCAGACGAAACAAAAAGCATCTTTACCCATTCTCGTGAATTTCTTGTCACTCACCGTTTTGTTAAAT